CCCCAAAACCCCAAAACCCCATAGTGTATCTCTGAGACAGAGATATTGAGTTAGAAAAATGCGAAAATGATTAATCTAACATGAGAACTTGCAAAAATTTGTATTTGAAAAATTTAGCAAAATTTTACCTCAATGTATTTTAACTATCCTACTATTAATTTATCTTTCTATTATATTAAAGTATCAGGCTAGGTCTTATAATATTTAAGATATATTGGATGACCTCTCAGTCTAGCGAGTTGATTAATCACTTCAAAAAAAGGTTTAGGACAGTTAAAATTTTAGGAAAAGGAAGTTTTGGATCTGTGTTTGAGGTAGTTGATAAGAGCGACTAAATTAAAAAGGCTCTGAAAGTCGTAATTAACATCAATTATTATATTATTTAGCAAAACAACGGTGATTAGTTTCGATCGGAAAAAAGCTTAATGGAAGCAATTAATAGGAACAATCTCAGAGGTATAAACTATTTTCAGTCTTATTTGATATATCATAGGCTTCCCAAAGATTTTTGAGGCTCAGCAGGTTTCAGAAAAAGAATCTTTTATTCTTATGAGTATGCAAGGTCCCTCATTATATGATGTTTTGGAATAATAAAAATTGAAAAGATTTCCGATTAAAATAATTGCAACTATTGCCATTCAAATCGTAAAAAATTCATCTTTATTTAAACTTCATTAGATCAAAATTCTGGAGTAAATTCACAATCTAGGCTATGTTCATTGTGACTTAAAACCAAACAATATTTTATTATAAAAAGGGCTCTCTTACCATGATATGGAAGCTTTAGATAATAATATAAGAACATACTGTCTGATTGATTTCGGGCTCTCGCATACATTTAAGGATTAATATGGAAACCATCATTCCATGGAGACTACCTCCTCAATCTTTGGTAACAAAAACTTTATGTCATTGAACCATCAGGAGGGATATAGTAAGAATTTATAAGAGAAGTAACTAATTTTTTAGATCAAAGTCGCAGAGATGATTTAGAATCATTATTTTACAATCTACTCTACTTGTCAGAGGGTTAATTTCCATGGGTAACTTCAAAAATTCTTGATGGATAGCTAACCAGATCTGCTCTGTATTATAAGAGAAATTACAACTAGGAGAAAATTTTCAAAAGCATGCCTTGTATAACAAATTCTAAAATTTAACCATTTCTTATTAGATTAATTCCTTGAATGTTTTAAGTATATCAAGTCTCTGGGGTTTGAAGATAAACCCAGTTATAAATATATAATAGAGAGACTACTAGAGGTTTAGAAAGGAGAAAGCATAATGATTGCATCTCATAATAATAAACACATCGTAACTAGAGACAACTTAAATAACATGGAATCATTTAGAAGCAATGTTAGGTCATTCGCAGCCCCTAACAATAATTAGGTAGTAGAAGAAAACTAGACACCCATTTATCCTATTTTAAATAAAGAATCTAAAACAGTGAGAATTAATAATACTAAAGGCAAGAACTCTAATTTTTCTATTAATAATTATGATAATCTTCAAATTGGGACTTCTCAGATTGACGGATTAATAATTGGAACAAACACTAAGCCAAAGAGTTTGTTTTTGAAAAAAAGAAGAGATCAAACTCCTAAAAGGAAAGCACCTAAAAAGCATGATAGCTTCCTTTAATACATATAAAATTAGGAATAGGAATTAAAACAAAATCTCAACTTAAATATCAGTAATTAAGAAGTTGAAAATGAAGAAAAGTAGCTTGATCACGAGGATAAGCTGACAGAAATGGATGATTAGGATTTCACCGAGTAAAGTTTGGATCAAAATAATATTAACCAAGCTACTCTAATAGTTTAGTAAATATAGGAACACAGCTTCTGGTCTAGATAGATGGACTTGAAGTTAATTAAATGTTGAGAATTGGCGAAACTAGCCAATTAACCGAGTATTTTATATAAGAACACCACAATAGAGAATATATAATCATTAGAAGTTTTTAAGCATATATATTAGGAATTTAGGTTTAATTATTAAGACTTCATTAGCAAAGATCAATTTTCTTGTCTTCACTCTCACTATTAAATTCTATCTCATGGGGTTTTGGGGTTTTGGGGTTTTGGGG